TTTTAAAACGGCATTATTCTGGGCATTTTAAATTTTGCTTTCGAATTCTTTTTTAGGCTGAACACCCTTTAAGATCTTTAAGAACAAATTTCTGTGTGGTTGTTACAGAAATATATTGATTAAAGGCGCAAAAAATGTCAATTTCCAGTTTCCAAGGACGCTCAAGCTTTGGCAGCTATTTTCTTGGTAATTTTACCTCTCCCATCAGGCGACACTCCCCCCCTCCCCCACTTTCAATCGTAAATATCTCGACTTCTATTCTGTATTATTTTTTTCGCCAAACGCAAAACAAATGAAAAAGCTTCAAGATGATACCGAAAACTCTATAAGCCCCAAAATTGACAAGCGTCTGATTCTACCGCATCGTGACACATTTACATACCACTCCTTCCAGTTATTCCAGGATATATATATGCTAAATTTACACACATGAACACATACATATATATGTGTATGTGAAAGTATGTATCATATGCTTTACATTACAAACTACAAACACACTCACACACATTTATAATGAGTGTGTGTGAGTTTGTGTGTGTTTATAACGCAGAGATGTTTTGTTTGTTTAAGTAAAAAGAAGCACCTCGAATGGTAATTTAGTGCTGGGAAAGAGTGAGACAGACTGACTGACAGACACACAGAAGTAACAGAGGGAAAGTAAAGAAGTAGGGTCTACCACTACCAATGGCACCTTCCAACCACCTGCCAGAATGCAGCGAATTATGTCTCGTGTGTTAAGGCATTGCAAAAAAAAAAAGTTTTGAATCTCAGTCATGGCCTGACACCATGGATAAATGGTCGCTTTTAAGGACAAGGGGGCTATCCCGAAAAATGCTGTTTTGAGAAAATCTAAGGTAAAGTTTTTGCCCCTTGTTCAGTTTCATCAAAAAACAAGGAGAGTTCTCTATAACTAAACAAATATAAACACCAATGAAACCAAAGTTCTCCTACGGGGAGGGCAATGCCAACATTTAGTGTAGTGTAGGTCAAGATTTCTGGAAACCCCCGAAATCTGGGTTAGCCTGCTGGTCTTTAAAGGCGACCAAATCGTGACCTCAGTGCTTTCAGATCGTATCTCCATTTTTAATAACAGTGAAAACAGTTTATAACAAAGAGTGAGCTTAAGAAGTCACATTTTCAATGTTAAAAAAGATGGAGATACGACAAGAAAGTACTGAGGTCGGGAAATATACAAAGCCAAAGTATATTTTATACAACAACATCACAATTCATCATTCTCCTACAGACAATCAGACTTCCTAACATTGATGTTACAGACATACTCAAGCAAAAGAAAACACACAGCTTAGAGTCATCAATCAACCCAGACAGAGCAGAAAAATTACCTTTGTTTGTAGTTGGAGAAAAGAGAAGCACATAGACACAATAATGGTCATTTAGACACATAGCACAGAGAAACAGTAAGACACAGACAGACAAAAACAACAGAGAGAAAGGTTAGACGTAGAATCGGTCAGCCGCACCCTCCAACCACCTGCAGTTATTACCTGGAGCAGCAAAAGCTTCTGGCAAAAAACTAAGACTATATTTCTTAAGAGAACGCATGCTAGCTCATAAATATAGTCCGCAAGGAAATTTTACGAGCCTTGAAATTGGCTTGATTATTTCTGGTAAATTGAGGAGGATTACAACATTCAGACAATCCATATTATATGGTTGATCAGCTGTTCAGATGTACTAGTACTAAAACCCGAACATTTGAAAAAAAAAAAGTTATCATAGTTCCTTAATTCGTGGTATTGGTTGCATGTGTTCAAAAAATATTTGTTGAAATTCAAACTCTAAATGTTGATAAAAAGAAAGAAAAGATGTACAAAGTAGGCACATTGTTACAAAAAAGGAATTAGTTTTTTCCCTCTCCTGAAAAATGCTTTCTGGACAGCTTGAATAGCTTGCGGACAATATATTATTGTAATGTACTTTCTGCCAGTTCATTTACTGTGTCACTTCATACAAATGGTTGATTTTTCTCTCTGCCGATACCCAAGGCCTCTGAATAACATATTATGACAATGCTACCATGAATAGAAAGTGTGGTATAAAAAAAGTACCCTGATAAGTCTTTTTTATCTGCTGCAGTTATAAGGCAACTATCTCGCTTCACAAATAAAATACTAACAAAGAAAGTCATAAACATTACTATCAGTAAATGTGACAGTATGAGTAGGTGGAAGAAAACTGCCTGAGTTGTAGAAGTTGTTAGCTGGTGATTCTCCATTTAGTTTATGGCCCTCCTTTGGGAAGAAAGCCACATCCCAATACACTCTCAAAATAAGACTTACCGCTCTTGATAACAGACTAGTTCTATTTGTATCGTAGTTGTCTTTTTTACAAACACATGACGCATTTATATAATCTCAGTATTCTCTGAATCTACAGCGGAGTCCACTTAAACTCATTATCTAGTGGACTGCCGGATTTTCTTACGGTTTGATGGAGTTTCCAGTGGTTAGAGGGGTTGCTCAAATAAACTAAACATTGCATTAAAAGTGTTCCGTTTAAGTGGACTCCACCGTATATCGAAAAATAAAGTAATAGATCATATTATGCACAAGAGGAGATGACATAGATGAACTAGCAAAGGACAATAGCAGTGGTCCGATCCAGAATAATTGGGAACTGTAGCTAGACTTTAGATAGACCTTGTCTAGACCAAGAACAGATTAGGACTTAAAAACGCTGAAATAAAAGGAACAGACCGCATCAACCATTCCAAAGATGCTAAAGAAAACAGATGAGTGAGTTGAAAAAACTCATTGGCAACACTGTCAGGCTTTGCCATACTCTGGTTTCATGTGGTTGACTTTTTAAATTGCAAAGAACATTTGTAATATTGTGAATTATTCACTACGTGAAACTTTGACCACGGTAACTTTCTGTAATTAACAATCAATCAAACCAAGTAAATTCCTCAAACAAGCACAAGAATGTTCCATTAGGGCGGGATGAGGGGGATATTTAAGCCATGGTCACTCGTACTAACTATGATAGTCCAACAAGACACCAACTTAACTTACATCAGTCCATTGATCAGGGAAGAAACTTCAAGGTCACAGAAAAAGGCCTACATGAACACAACACAGTACAAGAACAATTGACAAAGAATCGCAGTCAGCATTTTTCAATTTGAGGGGATTCCCTGATATCTCAATTAGTATCATGCTATACCAGTGTGGACGACCCAGGTTCCAATCTCAAGTGGGGCATTCTTGAACTCAGAGTATTTGGGACATTAAATTCTATGGAACAGCCTAATTGTGTTATTAGGGAATTATGTCAGTGGCCAAGTGGTTAAGCTACCGGACTAGTAATCGTGAGGTTGCCAGACAGTGAAAGATCTTGTCAGTTTGTTAGTGTTTGAGCGCTTAACCAACTGCTTGCACTGTATGCTTCCCGGGAAGCTGAAAATGTTTCTGAGTGTTCTGTGGTCTGCTGGGGTAATAATATAGTGTAAAGCACATAGAGTCAGCTTTCGAGTGGGGACATGTGCTGTACAAATGCTATTCATTTATTATCATATAATACAGTTTGACTTTGAGTCAGATTTGAAAACCTCTTAACACAAGAACTAGGTAGCAAAAACTGTGCCTCAGTACAATTAAATAGTTCTGTCCGCAGCTGAACTGGTGAGCAAGTCACAGATAATATAACTGCTGAAGATAATATCAAAATCAAAGGACCATTGTATGAACAAGGCATTGAAGGAAAAAAAGCACTTAGTTATGTTACTCCAAAATCACATTTAAGCCAACACACTTTTTGAAAAGCAACTCGAATCTAAATGGTCAAGATTTTTTAAAACAATTGGACAACTTGCCCCTTGTCCATTTTTACTGCATAGCAATAGGAAAAATGAAGGAGACTTCTGTCTCAATAGGCAATCAAACGAAAACCTTTTGGCAAAAAACAACATAAATTTAATTCATGATACTTCCAATTCATTTAAAACACGAAAGAAAAAAATTCTAAAAATAAATGTTGGTACACAAGTACTGAAAAGCACTGAAACTCCTGTTGACTTCCTGAACAGAGAAGAATAAAAATGGAAAAATAATTCTGGCTAATTGATCCTGTTTGTCGAAAAGAAATATTGCCAGACAGTTGTCTATGACATTGTACAAAGAAAGACAATATTTTCCATAACGATTTTTTTTGGACACATAAGTGTTTTCACGCCTCCATCAAAACAATTTAAATCATTTAACCCTTATCCTGCGTCTGTGCCCAGATGCGTACCTTATCAGCAACCGATTACGTCGGACGTGCCGGGCAGGCCGCCGGGGTCACTCAATGTGTACTGTTGGTGTACAATGCGCACGCCGGGAAACGTGTGTTTTCGCCATGAATACCGCGGGAGTGTGTTAACCGATGATGAAAATAACGCTCTATCTTTCATAGCTTTCTATTTATAAAGTGTTACAAACACATGAATAACCCCCTCTCACAAGCTGATAAGACATTACGAGTAGTTACGCCCATTCGAATAACCTTTCTGGACGCTCTTGTTGTTATGAATGACTTGAGGTTCGAAAGGGGATAATTTAGGTCAATTTCCAAATGTTGTACACTCAAATTGTTCTTTGTACCTGCACAATGGTATTCAAAACTAACAAGCTTATTTTTTATCATGTAGTATCATTTCATACAAAAATCAAGCTCATTTGAAATATTTTGTATAGAAAAATGGAAGTCTTGTTTCCTGACTATCCTTTCGAGCTCCTCATGTCTAAGTGGGTCAATTTCTTCTATAATTTCATTGGATGAACATCTCGAGCTACCAACTTACATGCTTTGAATGAGACCTATGCCTAGATTACGAACCAACGCAGGCGGTTCTAGAAGAAGGCCACAAACGCACACAAACTCAAGCAGACTGACGCACACACACTTGACCTGCGTGAATGGGGATTCGACTCGGGACCCGAATGACACGTAAGATGATGCGTGCTCCGCATGCGCTGAGCCAGGGGCTACACTGATTCGGGACCAGAACGTAGGCGAGGTGCCGAAATAGGCTTATCGGGTGACATAAACCCGGCTCCCGCAGGATGATGGTTAAGACATGGGCTACTGATCCTGCGTGTCAGGGCCAACCCAGGCTCAAAGGAATACAACATCCCAGCTGAAAGATCAAGATGCACGATAAAAATTTCTCCCCACTTGGGAATCGAAGCCCCTAACTACTACACCACGGGTCCTAATGATTTAGGCACAGCATGTCCGATCAAAGCAAAAATTCTCATACCCTGAGAACATCAGTCTTTAGACACATTGAGACTACGCTGTTTTGAGTCCTTGACGACTGAACGGACAACAAATAATTCATAACAGCAAAGCAGTATGTCATATCAATCCCAAGCAGACTACAGTGTTGGGTCAATCACACTCTCAACATCTTATACAAACACAGAAAACTACGACACTGAAACAAACACCAAGAAAATAACAAGTTTCGGCACTTTGGAATAGTTCATGAACTGTTCAGTTCCAGTTCCAGTCTCATCTCTCACAGACAGGACACCACATTCCAACAAAAGACAGAAGAAAGAAGAAAACTTTTAGGGCAGTGGTTCTCAACCTAGTTGGAGTTACTGAACACCTCAAGTTTTCGTACATGCATTCACCCAACCCTATGATGGGGTAAACGGAATGGACACATAAATACACACAAGCAGTGTATGTACCAAAACCCTTGAGACTGACTCACCAAACCTTGGGGTGTGATCGAACCAGGGTAAGAAACACAGTTGAGGGACTGCCAGCCTGCTTTTCTTTTGACAACAGTACATCATGAGGGCATTTCGAAGTTGGAACCCGCCATCATAGTCACTTTTCAAAATGGCATATGGCAGTTTTACACAAAGCAGTCGGTGTGTGGTCTTACTAGGGGATGCAACAATTCAGAATTATGGGAAATTTGGGAGCAGGGCTCTTCGATCCTGGCGAGATGTGTGTTGGGATCCCATATCGGAGCAGAAAGATTGAGATCCTTGATAAAATCTCCCACACCTGGAATCAACTTTATGTCTTTTACCTCCAAGTCCCACCATACTAGAAGATGAAATTATAAATCTCATTGAAATTGGAAAAATGCAAAAGGCCACAATTTATTCCCATTAGAAAAGTAGAGATATTTTAAAAAATTGACACTGATTCTGTCCTTCTGCTTGCTTATGACTTTAAATTTGGATAGCCACATTCTCAGATCACCTTCATCATCATCATCCTCACATTAATGTCCTTCAATGGTGAAAAACAAAGACCCGCTGTCAAACATCAGGCACACAGGGACAATTATTCCTAAAAGGATAAGATATGAACCCCGAACTTCAATGCCTTGGTCAAGTTCATGAACCAGCAGAGCAACAGTCATCAACATGCAGGTGCAAACCCGTATTCCTTTTTGACAGAAGTGAAAGAATAAGTGTACAGAAAAGTGTCCACTAACATGAGACAACGAACTCCACACACAAACATACAAGATTTAACAAAAAGCCCTATTCCATTATAGTATAAATAAACAACAACGTCATGTCATTATACACAAAGCAGTTCTTAACATAAACCACTTGGAACAGAATTAAGAAAAAGGGCTGATAGCTTTATCAAATAAACTACCCTCAGCTGGTCGGCAGAATTTTCAGTCCTTTTCCAAATAACAGGCAGTTTTCAATAATGAAAAAAAACAACAAACAACAACAAAAACTAGTAATTGTCGACAAAGTAGAAACTACAACCACACAATCATCAACTGCTCGAGCCCAGTTTGGCGACTACGGCCGAGAAAAACTCGTCCGTCTCCAGTTTTTGCTGCGAGGTGACTGAGAAGAGCACTGCCCAGTCGCTGAGCTGCTTGTGGTAGACGGCCCTTTCTTGAGGGGACAACAGCGGCGAGTGCAGACAAACCTCCATCAGCTTTTTAATACTGGCTCGTGAGCTGGGGAACGGGGCCTGGAAGAAAGGAAGGAAGGGAATTTAGTTAAATTTTTGTAAAAGTTCAACAGCACTTGTAACATAAGGTCAAATAAGTGCCGAAGATTATACACAAAAGAGGAGGAGAGATTAGGACAAACCACACCAGAACACCCTCCAACCACCTGCAAAGAAGGAAGGAAATACGGAGTGAGACTACAAGAAAAGGGGGGGGGGGGAGGGGTAGATTAGAAAAATGTACGACTTGTATAATGAGCTTGATGATCATGGGTGAATGAAGGTCTTGCAGTACTTACACTGGGAAAGAACATGATAGAACGGAACCCATTACAGCTTGTCCCTCATGAAATTATCATAATTTTTTTTGTAAATGTTGAGCCTTTAGGTTTTAAGTACAGTTGAACTTGCTCTGACAGCCCCCTGTATAAAACAATCATCTGCACAAACTGCCACATTCCATTTCCCTCTCTTGTGTGTATGGGTTTTTTTGTTGTTGTTGTAAATGATTTATAGGCACTGTGTAAGATATCTACCTGTATAAAATGATGACTTTTCTCTTCCATAATGGGTGGTCATCTTAGATAGAATTATGACAATCGTAATCGGTTTTTAAAACATTATATAGATATGTGTATAGGGCACTTCTTTTCATATCGTGCAGGCAGTCAAGTTATCAGCAAAAAACCATGTTTTTGAGTTGGACACAAGCTATTATAGTCAAATGAAAGAAAGAGAGACAAAGAAACAGACACAGAGAAAAAACAAGATTAAATCACACATTTTACAAAGGTTTTAGTAGAGGTTTTACAGCGCTCGCAACTGCATACGGTCAATGAGCGCCAAGGGGTGGATGTCAATAGAGAAGTCCTTAAATTAAGTTAAAGGGAATCAGGCTTACTCTGCTTACCTCTCGAGCTTCAACAGCACAAAATCTGCTAAGACTATCAAGGCACCCCGGAAATAGCAGGTCACAAGAGTGTGACAAACATACAAATTGAAAAGAAGTAGAGGAAAATGACGATAGTAAGGATTAGGAAAGAAAAAGCAGCAGTTCCCAGTTGCAGTTCAGACACAGTTGTGAGCATGACATTGATGAATCAGCCCATTTACAATTCTACAGGGCATAAATTAAGAACATGCTAATGCCTCCCCTTTGGGAATGGCCTTAAGACACTTCAGTCAGTAGCATCGCCCCCGTGGGTGTAATCACACGATGATTACCTTAGAAGTATCAGGAACTCTCTTCAACTCCTGTGACAAGGCTTCCTGCTCCTGTTTCAGCATGGTTAGGCTCACATAAGGCTGAAAGTACTTGACGTCTACCGGCAATTCATCCCAATCAACGGGCACCCCTCCCGCATCCCGCGCCATCGAGCCACTGGGGCTCAGAGGGCCTGAGTCAATGTCCTCTGGAGAGCCTCGGTTGTCCATCCATAGGATCTGGGGCATTAAAATTTGGAGCATTGACAAAAACACAACAAAAAAATGAGAATGAAAAATTCTTGAACAGATCTTGCATAAAGTACACACGTACGCTGAGAATGATACCTTCAAAACTAAAATGAAAAAAAAAAAAGCTTTCTCACTGCAGCTCATGCCCTTAGAATGAGGAGTTTAAACCCATGATGCAGTTTTGAGAAAAAGGGGATTCAAAGATTCACAATCTAAAAGCTGAAATGTTTTTTTTACATTTCATTTGTTAATCATCAAAATAAAAAAAAAAAATTAAAAATACAGGTCTGTTTGCCTTAAGCCTTTAAAATACATTGTACAGGATATATGTGTCCCAACAAGGTGGAATCAGGCGCCTGTCAATTTTTGGGTTTGTGAAGTTATTGCTGCCATGTAAAGATTGTTCATTTGCCTATCTTTCAAAGGAAAAAATACCATATTGTTGTCATCGTAAAGCTTGTTCATTTGCGTATCTTTCAATGGACAAAATACCAATCTATTTCGAATAGAAGTTCATATTTGAGATTGAAGGAGGTGGGGGTAGCCTGGTTTCAGATGTAAAATTAGCAAGAAAATGGCTGCCAAAGTTTGGTGAATTCTATAGCTTGAGAGTCCTTTGGAACTGAAAATGTACACTGTTGTGCCTTTCTTCCATCTATTCTCTTTGAATTGGATGTTTAATTTAGTTTAGAGAACAAGAAAGGATTTTGTCGCACTTGCAACACAATAAAGTCATCTAAATGTCGACGATTAGAGATGTTACATTAAATTTGGAGGTTCTTACTCTCAAATAGCTGTTCAGTGTGGAAAGGGAAGCAAAAACAGATACTGTACCAAGCAAAAGAGTAGGGCCACTACTCACCTTTCGAGACTTCTGAGAGCTGGACAAGTAATCCGTAAAAGATCCCAGCAACTCCTTCTCAACTTGGAATCCTATAACGTTCGACTCCATCTTCCCTTCCAGTGGGCTTGTCGGGGTGTTGCTGTGAGCCATGGGCTCCGAAAGGCTGCGGATGGGACCTCTGTACCCACCGAACTCTAGTCTCGGTGACAGGGAAGTGGGTGTTGTGGTCGACGGAGGAGTGACCGAGCCAGGCTGTCCTGTGGCACCGACATGAGCACCCTTCAGGATATCTGGGGTGCCAGAGAGCACAGGGGACGTAGCAGCCGCCGGGACAGAGGACAACTGGGGACGATGAGAACCGCCGTCTTCTTCCCCATGAGCCCCACCGTCTTTGCGGGAAGAGCTTCCGGAACTTTCTGACTCAGGACCTTCTTCTGAGGAGACAGAAGTCCGGTTGGTCAGGAGGTGCTGGGAGATGGCGCGATGAATGTAGCCCAGAGTCTCGGTCAGAGCTTCCCGCTTGGCCTGCACATCCCAGAGAATTCCTTTAGAGAGACGGAGCAGGTTCCTGAAGCTGATCTGACCCCGCGTGGTTACGGACGGTGATGTTGCTGATGCTGTTCCCGTGCTAGAGGTGTTCGGTGATAGCGATAACAATGGCGGTGATAATGACGATGGAGAAGAGGATGCTGCAGTGGCAGACAGTTTGCTGCTATTCTCAGACACCGGGGAATTCCCTTTTATCACAGACAGAGGGTCACCGCCATGAAGGGAGCCAGGACTCCTGGGGGGCATGGCAGCAGCAGCAGCAGCTGACGTTGGTGAGGATGACAACGCTGAGGTAGATGAAGCTTTTGGCGCAGCATGTGGCGACAATGGTGAAGATGATAAGGGCGACGGGGGCGATCTGCTGCTCCCCTTTACAGCTTTCGTTGCCAATGGAGGCAGCAGCACAGAAGGGGGGTCAACTGACGACGACTTTGGGGCTGTGGGCGAAGAGAGAGAACCTAACTGGTGAGACCGATCTGAATCCTCCTTGTCCTTACTCCCAGACTTTGACAAGGAAGATGACGTTGTCTTCTCTCCAACTTTCTCACCTGAAGTGGCAACACCCTCTTGGCTATCACACTTTAACTTTGGGCGAGTCGAAGAGCTCGAATCAGATTTCTTCCCAGCCACACCGGGAGAAGCAGCACACGGAGCCGACTTCACGTCATCCTTCACCTCCCCACCAGCACCCGGACTAGAATCCCCACTCTTGGGAGAAGAAGACAACACAGACTTTTCTTTTGTTGCCCCACCCTCACTGCTGGTCAAACTGCCAGACTCCTTCCCAATGTCGGAAACCGCCCCACCTTCACTGCCCCCACTAGAGGCTTCTCCAGACAGCGGCCCGTTTGGCATCCCGTCGAGGCTGTCGTTGTCGGAGTGCGAGAGGTTCAGATCTTCCCGGAGGTAATCCAGCACTACCAGGTAGAAGTACGCTCGCACACAGTCCAACTCCCGACAACGCGGGCTTGCTGTAGAGATGTGACCATCCTCCTAGAGAGAGAGACAGAGAAAATAATACAACAAAAAAACACCAAAACGAACAAAAAGAAAATTGAAAAGAGAAGAGAGAAAAGACAAGAAAGCCACAAAATTAAAAAAAAGGGTAAAAGAAAACAAAACCCATTTTTTCGTGGAAGTTTTCCCAGAGAAAAAAAATGGAAGCTATTAAAACCCCCCAACCTTTATGGCTTTTTTCTCCCTAGAAAAAAGTATTATACAAATCTAAAGCTATAAAAACAGAAATGGTCTTTTGAAAGTAGAAAACACAACACATGGTCATATCAGCATCTGCGGTGAATAGGAAAGTTGCTACACCATCACACACAATTTGTGTGGGGAGAATTGTCATTGAGTATCTCGGTCTTTCTGATGGGACGTTATATCCCTCTCAGCCCAGATTGGTTCAGACAGGTTGGGTTGATGTCCGCCTCCAAAATGATCAAAATTGTGTCAAAGGGGCTCAAAAATACCTACATTAATAAAAATTTAAAAAAAGAAATCATGAGGTCTTTCCCTTGATTGTAATAGTTCTACACTCCCACTGACACTAGACAATTCAGAAAGCTAACTGCCTTAACCCAACTGTCAGGGCCCACCCGAGCTAAGCAGTGCAAGAATTACATTGAGACTTCCATAAATAAAATAGAAAAGCTCAAACCTTGACATCGGTCAGATATTTCTTGATAGTGTTGTGACCTTCGACCCCAGCCTGGTCCACATTGCCGTTGTTCTCCATCGCGATGAGGACGCGGGACGCGTTGAACTCTTGCTGCAGCTTCAGCATGTACTTGGGTCCTGGAGGTTTTTGAGTTTTGAGCAATGTTTAGTTTTAGTGAGCTTTATGACACTTGCAACACAGAAAGGTCATACAAGCGCCGAAGATATTAGAGGTGTTACAAAAGAATGACAAACACACGAAAAAAAGGAGGAGAGATCAGGACGATAGACATTTGATAAGGAAGAAGGATCAAACCACACCACAGCACCCACCAACCACCACCTTTGAGCAAAGAAAAGCACATTCATTGCTAGAACAATGATAATTCAGTGCAGAGAAACAGTAAGACAGACGGACAGAAACAAGAGAGGGAAAGAAAACAAGAACATACAAGAAGTGTCCTCTAACTACCACCTTCCCCTAGGCACCATACTAGATTTTACAAAAGAGAAAAAACCCCAAAAGAACCTGAAAGAGAACAAATGAACGTCTTCATAGATGAAAGGAGGAAACAAGTTGGTGCCCTATACAAAATGGTAATAGAATAGGTTGAAGCCCCCTTTCAACACTATCATCTAATTTGAGAGTTGGGACTTCCGCGTTTAACGTCCGTCCCCGAAAGGACTGAGATGCCCTATGCTCCCACTAGAGTTCTGCTTGAGTTAAGAGAAACACATCAACACGATTACAGTCATTTACAGCAGGGAAAAAAGCAAGACAGGAAGAAAAGACACAGGGAAAGAAAAAAAGTAGCAGTGAGAGGCAAAAGTAAAGTAGCAAAAACAGTCTAACCAGCTCTAACAGACACTTGTAAAAACGGCCATTTCCCATTTCCCCTCGCATTTTTAACATTATAATGACACTGTAAAACTGCATCTCCCCTCGATGCTTAACGGCAACAGAGGATGAAAAAGTAAAAGTAAGTAAAGAAATGACACTGCGTAAGACGCCCACTTGCCTTAGACAACCACTTTTCTCCTCAACAAAGAGTGGCAATCTTAGACAATTTCGATTGTACATTTAACGATCTCAACAGCTCGTTCTTTCTAGAATGAGTTACAGGAAAATTTCCAAGAACGCGGTCAAAGGCCCAAATGTCCGGAAGACGCGAGGATGCACATACCCTGAGGCAGCATGAGGCGACAGATGGCCTGCAGGAGCTTGAGGTGTCCACCCTGGTGCAGCGCGGCCAAGGAGTGCAGGAGGTGCAGCACGGCCGACGTGGTCTCCGCTGTCAGGAGAGACAGCAGGCACAGGGTCAGCTCCACACTCACCTGAACCAGAACCTGGGCGAAGAATAAATAATAATGATAATAATAATGATGAAAATGATAATGATGATGATGATAATAATAATCTTACTACTGATGGAGCTAAGGCCATATTTTGCGAACAGTATATTCTCAAAAACTACCGAATGAAAAAATATGAAACTTTGCCAGTACCCATAACTTGAAACGTAGTGTTGCACTATTGTATTTTCATTAAGATCAAATGTGTAAGAAGAAAGCCCAGTTTAAGTTAAATTCAGTCCTAGTGGAGCAATTGCCATCATTTGCTTCGACATTGTATATTCACTGCGCAGTGCCGACAGCGCCAAAGGGTATTTTGTGTTCAGTTGTACATAAAGTAGGTTTACGGGAATTCCCGATTTCGGTCTCACGCCTTTAGGGGGAGGAGGAGGAGGTGTAGGTGTAGATGGAGGAGGAGGAGAAATGAAGAAGAAGAAGAAGAAGAAGAAGAAGAAGAAGAAGAAGAAGAAGAAGAAGAATGATGAGGAGGAGAAGAAGGAGGAGGAGGAGGAGGAGGAGGAGAAGACAAAGAAGATGAAGAAGAAGAATGAGGAGGAGCAGGAGGAATTAGAGGAGGAGGAGGGGGAGAATAAGAAGAAAAAAAAGGAGAAGAAGAATCAAGTAGTAATACATGTTACAAAGTGGTGACTTTTTCGTTTGTTACCCTACCTTGAGAGAGACAGAGAGGATAGAAAGAGAGAGAGAGGGAGAGAGAGAGAGAGAGGGGGGGGGGGGAGGCCAGAAAGCACTAACAGAGGGAGGGTGGTGAGAGTGACAGGGAGGGTGTCGTCGAAAGCGCAAAGAGTAGTCTAGCCTACCGTAGGCCTACTTAATGTATCGAGATAAATCGAGATCAAGAAGAACCATGAAATGAAAGTAGAATCTAGATCTGTGATATTTCGATAACCTATTGAATATTGAAAGTGGATTTTTCTTGCTGAGCATTATAGATTCTAAGATAGAGATCTAGGCTAGATCTATGTGAATCTTAGATCGAGATCAAGAATGATGAAAGTATTGAACGTGGATTTTTTCCTGCTCTGAATAGATCTAGAGTCTAGAACTAGGCTGTCGGTGAATCTAGATCGAGATCAAGAATCATGAAAGTATTCTTGAAAGTGGATTTTTCCTACTGTGAATAGATCTAGAAATCTAGGCCATCTGTGACGCCTGTTGGTTATTAAAAATTTGAATTTCTAAACTTAGAACTATCTATGGGCCAAGGCTCCTTCTTTCAATTATTGGCCTAGATCTACACGTCTTTATAATCCTTCGAGATCTAGGCTAGATCTAGAATCTAGATTAGGTTCTTCCAGGAAGCAACAATTGGCATGTAGGCCTAACTCTTTTTTAAAAAAATGATTGAGCTGGAACTTTAGGAGAAAATGCTACGCCTTCGAAGAGGGAGAAGAAGTCTTACCCCTAGAGGTTGTCAAGAGGAGGTGCTACATGGATAAATTCAAGGTAAAATATTTGTGTTTTGTTTCTTTCCTGTTTTCAGTCTATTTCCTCTTCTTAACTTTCCTGATAACTCTTCATTATTATTCCGTTCGTAGAACGGGTACTTTTATTTCTAGTATTAATAATATCAATAGTGATGATAATGATCACAGCAATAACAATGATAACAATAATAATAATAATAATAATAAAAATAGTACTGATAATATTAACAATAACAACAACAAAAATAATATTAAACGGAATTTACATAGCAGTCTTTCTCATAAGTATAAGCTTTGAGCCCTTCACATTGATCATAATATGATTACTGAGAGTGCACCTCACACATACACAAGAAAACCCCCCATTACAATGTAGACAAGAAAACCGGTTCAACCAGATAAGGAAGAACTTTCTTAGCCATGCATTAATTATATAGGAAAATATAAATGATTTAGTTTAAATTATCATTTATTAACATTATTATGATTATGGCACTTGCAACACAGGACAAGGGTTAACATTATTATGGCACTTGCAACACGAATAGGTCATAAGTGCCCAAGTTTTGGGGTGTTACTAGTTGAGCCAAAAACTAAAAATTCGACAAAAATTGCCAATCCTGTGGAAAAATGCCAATTTCTTGACTTTCATTATTTTGACGAGCGTCTGATTTCACCACCTTGCCTCACATATATATGTTTGATAGGAAAGAAAGAGCAAACAACAACTAAGGCCCCACTAACCAACTGCTACACATTTTATTGTATGCCACTTTTGTAAACTTTCTTCCTGTCACAGAAAACACTTTGGAAAGCGGCATGCAAAGCCATTCATATTGTTGACCAAGTGACAACAAAAACAAAAACATTGCTGTCACAAGCAAAGTGAGCAATTCCACTGAACTGCCCATTGCACGTCGAGTTAAAAAAAAACCCAACAACAGTAGAGTAACTCATTTTTATTTAAGTATTAGTATTACGGTGCTATCGGCACAATTTAGTCTCAACTGTTTTTTCTTGCTTTTTTAGTTAGTTTTAGTAGAGGTTTTACTGCGCTCACAACTGCATAAGGTAATAAGAGCACCAGAAGATTAGAGGTGTTACGAGAGAGTCATCATCCAGTGCCAGATCTGCGACAGACATCGGCGATCATGGTTTTCCATTCATGCCTTTGCTCGGATGCTCTAAAAAAAGCTCCGTTTCCCTGATCTTTCCCTGTTACCCATTTGTTTAGGTTCCCTAAGTATGTTGTTCTGGGCCTACCCCTGCCTCGCTTGCCCTCAATTTTGCCAGTGAGAGCTAGATGTTCAAGACCCTTATGCCTATTCAGGGGTCCCAAAAACAGCATTTGTCGCTTCCTGATTGTTTTTAACATTGAGCGTCCCACGTGGGCTTCATCAAGCACTACCTCATTTGATTTCTTTTCCTTCCACGATACTCTTAGCAGTCTCCTAAGAAACCACATTTCTGTTGCTTATATTTTATTTTCACTGTCTTTAGTGATTGTCCAGCATTCACAGCCATATAGAAGGGTTGACCAAACATAGCATTTCAGAACTTTCATTTTGGTGTTCATTGAGATGTTTCTATTTTTCAGGATTGGGCTATTTTATTGAAACTAGCCTTAACCATTGTAGTTCTCCTTTTTATTTCTGAGGAACATTTGGCATCAGATGTTATCATATATCCTAGATATTTAAACTGTTGGACTTGTTTGATCTTTTCACCTTTACTAATGAGACTACAACTAGGGTTTGCTGCTTTTTTGGATATTACCATGCATTCTGTTTTCTTTACATTCAACAATAATCCTTTACGTTCACTTTCTGTTACAACAGTATCTAGAAGTAATTGAAGGTCCTTTTCGGAGCCTGCTATTAAAACTGTCATCTGCATACCTGATGTCATTAATATTTTCTCCTTTTACTTTGAGGCCTGGACATTCTTCTATGAGAGAGTAACAAACATAAAAAAGAAGAAGGGGAGATAAGGACGATAGATGTTTGATAAGAAAGAAGAAGCAAACCACACCAGAGCACCGGCCAACCACCAACATTTTTTCTAGCGACAGTGTTGATATCAGTATCAGACACTGGTGTCAGTTGGATCCTTACCGTAGGTGTGTCAGGAGCCCCCTGCTGAGGAGGAGCCATTTGCACGATGGCCATGTACGTCGCGTTCAGCTCCTGCAGCAAGCGCGCTATATCCAGGCCGCGGTACCACGCACGTAGCACGTGGTGAGGGAAGCTGTGCTCACCGATCAAGTGGGCCTCCCACGGGACCACCGGGTCCCTCTCTGACTTGTCCAGGAGGAACTCTGGGGGGATGGACAGAGAGAAATAGTTTGTGTCATTGCATAAAGGGAAGGGTTTTTAAAAAATAGTTTAGTTTCCAGTAAGAGTTTTCTTTTTGTTGGTGCACCCCATTGAGAAAGAGAATCTGGTCCGTTTGCTTCTTTTTTTTTTAAAAAAAGCGAAACAGAGGTTTTACGGCCTTCACAACTGCATAAGAGCGCCAGAGGTGTTACAAGAGAGTAACAAACATAAAAAAGAAGGAGGGGAGATAACCCACGTCCGTTTGGCTTGAAAGAGTATGATCCTTTTTGGCCAAAAGGTTATGAACCGCTATGGCAAATGGCTTAGGAAAGAGAGTCAGGAGTCTGAATGCGGATAATGGATCAGTGAGAATTATCCAGCTATCTGGATGGATGATCTGGATTCTGGCCACCACTACTTCACAAACGTCATAGAAAAACAAAACAAAACTCCAACAAAACTGCTGGCTTATTTACCAGGAGGGCCGACTTTTCCTGTGGCCGGCTCTTTCTTTTCCTTGAGGAAGAAATGGTCGGAGGTGCTGGACTTCTGGGTCAAGGTCAGCTCCGGACAAAGGGAGGCCAGCTGTTGGACCAGGAGCTCGTGGGTACACAACAAGGGAAGTAATACCTGCAATTTTAGAAAAGAAAAAAAAAGTTGTCAGAGTTACTTCCCTTAACACTTTCACTACCGCTTGTCCTGCTCATCAAACAGCAAAATTACACTCACGGGCCTGGCAGTAAAGGAGTTTAGGAAACAAAAATTTCGAGAAGCAGCGATGACAATCTTTCTTTTTAAACTGTTAGTTTACTTTTCGAAACAGCACTTGCAACACAATAAGGTCATATAAAAGGCTAAGATTAGATGTGTTACAAACAAACAAAACAAAAAAGAGGGGAGATATGTTTAACAAGAAACAGGCATGCCGGCACGCACATACACACTCACAGTGACAAGGTAAAAAGAAATCATTTACAGAGCATCTTTCCCCGTAACCTCCTCTCTTTCTCATTCACCCCTCCAACTCTCTTACACACACAAGAGAGTAACAAACACAAAAAAGAAGGAGGGGAGATAGAGAAGATATATTTTTTATAGGAAAGAAGGAGCAAACCACAGCAGAACACCCGCCAACCATCCACAGATTAGAGGTGTTACAAGAGAGTAACAAACACAAAATAATAATAATAATAATAATAAAAATAATAATAATAATAGACAGCATTTGTATAGCGTAAAAAAGGAGGAGAGGTCAGGACAATAAAAAAACCAAACCCCAAACAAACAACCCCCCCCCAAAAAAAAACAACAAACAACAACAACAAACCCAGCAACAACAACCACCAAGCATCACCTTGAGCGTCTCGTGCTCCGCGATGAAGGCGTGGGCCTCGCTCCAGTCGCCCGAGGCCAGGTACTGGGAGAAGAGGCGGAAGGCGTAGAGCATGCCCTGCGGGTGCTGCTCATTGGCTATCAGGGTCATGTGACAGGCCGTCTTGAGGGAGGCGTGGTCCTGGCGCCGGGTCAGCACCATGCCCGCCTCCTGCACCTGACGCATGGCCAGGTAGCTGGGGGTGGGAATTAATTATAATATTATTATGTAAGTAGTTTTTTCTTTTACGCTCCCCATCGGCACAAGATTGAGATCATTGAGGAGGACTGTTGCTTGAGAAATTATATTACTGACTCTAATGCCGCCTAAATCTGCAACCGTTTTACACACACACACACACACACACACACACACACACACACACACACACACACACACACACACACACCACACACACATACAAACACACCACCACCAATGACAACAAATCCCCCCCCCCCCCCAACACCAAATCTGACCAGAATGCAAAGAAATACTCCCTCCAACCCACCCCCCACCTGAACGGTTTTGATTTAATGAAAAATTTAAAGACACCTGCAACACAAGTAGGCCATATAAGTACCAAAGATTAGTAGCGTCACAGGAGAGAAGCAAACACAAAAAAGATGGAAGAAAAATGAGGACGGTAGAGGTATGATAAAGGAGAAGGGTCAAACTACATCAAAGCACTCGCCTATCTCCCACTGATAGATGTTTGATAGGAAAGAGGAGAGATAAAGATAGTAGATCTTTGATAGGAAAGAGGAGATAAAGATGATATATTATGTCCGATAGGAAAGAAGAGAGACAAGGACGATAGATATTTGATCGGGAAGAGGGGAGATAAAGGTGATAGATGCTCGACAGGAAAATTAGGACCACACAGAACCAGTGTACCCATCAACCATCCAGTCCTTGAACCCAGCCAAAAGTAATTTTTTGAGTAAGGTTTTACGACTCTCGCAACTGCATAAGGTCATATGAGCGCCAAGGGGTGGATGTTAACAGAGAAGTCCAAGCGTGGTATCAGGCTTACTCTGCTTACCTCTCTAGCCTCAAAAGCACAAAGTCTGCTTCGACTATCAAGGCACCCCGGAAAAAGCAGTTCACAAGGTTAGAGAGTGACAAGCATACAAAAGAAGTAGAGGAAAAATCACGATAGGATGAGGAAAGAAAAAGCAGCAGTTCCTCCTAGGTTGTTCCGGCACAGTATGAGCATGACATAGATAAATCAGCCCATTTACAATTCTACTGTGCATAAGAACATGTTAATATGCCCCCTCCCCATTTTTTAAAGTGAGAGTTTTACGGCACATGCAAAACAATATTTATGAATAAGGTCATATTATAAGTGCTGAAGATTAGAGGTGTCACAAGAGAGTAACAAACATAAAAAAGGAGGAGAGATCAGGGCAACAGATGATTGATAGGAAAGAAGGAGCGAACCACACCAGAGCACCTGTCAACCACCTATATGACCCCTTTGGGAATGGTCTCAAGACACTTCCCCAAAAGTAGAGCAGCAGCGGGACTCACCATTTGGCGGCCTGCTCGATCTGGCCGTCCTTCATGAGCACCTGGCCCCACTCCATGTACAGGTCCTCCAGCACCGGGTCCATGGGGGACAGGCGCACCTTGGCCAGGGACACGGCCTCTCTGACGTCACACAGGGGTCAAGATGAACAAAAAAGATGGAGGGGGGAGGGGATGGTGTTTGCGTTTGAATGAAGAGATAGAAGCCCATCGACACAATAATGTGGGTGAAAACGTTTGAGTTTGAGTAAAGAGAAGCACATAGACACCATGACGGTCATGATATACATGAAGTTTAAGTTTAATTTAAGTAAGAGTTTTATGGCACTAGCAGCAGAATTAGTTCATATAAATAATTAAATTACGAAAATGTAGCGGTGTTACAAGAGTAATAAACACAAAAAAGAAGGAGGATAGACAGATAAGGACGACATATGTCTGACAAGAAAGAAGAAGCTAACCACACCAGAACCCCCACCAGCCACACACAAGTTTGGGTAAAGAATAGTTTTAGTTTAGTTTTAGTAAGGTTAAAGAGAGGGCCATTGACACACTGATGGCCATTATATAGTGTAGGGTAGAAACAAATCAGACACAATAGTGGGAACGAAAAGAATTATGACCTAAAAGTGGGACAAAAATTGAGGGGTTTAAAAAATAATGTAGGTGTTTTACACCACCCATCGACATAATTCAGATCATTTAGAAGGCAGGCGAGCTTCGACTCTGTCAGTGAGGGCCAATACGGGCTGAGGGGGTTACAACACCCAAGCTGACAGAACCAAGATACAGGATGGATAAATAAAAATTCTCTCCACAATGGAATTGAACTCTTTAGCGTGCTACAGATACCGGTTTGATGCCTGTTTGAATGGTTAGAAAGTGGAAAGAAGACAGGAGAGAAAGCGAGAGCGAGACAAGAGAGACAGAAATAAAAATAAAGCGGAAAAGAGAGAGAGAGAGAGAGAGAGA